TTCCAGCATTTTTCGACCATACACTCACTACACTGATGATGGTATACCAACAACACCTTCACCTGTGCGATTGCTGTGTCTGCTTCTTTTCTGTGTTTTCTTTCTAAATGTGTGTACTACATGCATCTGTCCTCTTTCCCCGGATCAGGAAATTTCTTGGAGTTAGGGGCCTATTATATGTGCAACTCCAGCCCGGGCTGGAGCAAGCGGGCCAGCCCGCCAAAGGTGTTTACATGTGCAAGGCCGGGCTGGTCGCCAGCCCGCAGTGAGTTTATATGCGCTGAGCACACGCCAGCCCGTTGTGAGTATGCAGCAAACACACTACGACTGTAGTGTGCTGCCCCGGGCTGAAACGCAGGGCTGCAGGCCATACTCAGGTTATAAACCTAAAAACTTTTTTTCTCATACAATGTACTTTGAAGTATTCTTCTGCTGATTTCTTTTCGCGCTGTGGCACATGTTTGGTGTGTTGTATCACCTCGTTTCTTTTCCCTGTTTTTCACATTTTTAGCTGTCCATATCAAAGTATTTTGCAAGTAGTTCCCCTTCCACTTTAATGTAAATCATGCATGTCAACAAATAAACAGTGCTCACTGTACGTCCTTCTTGTTGCTGTACAAAAAGCTTCATAGATTTTCAAGACAATATCGGGAATCCTCTTTATAGCTACCCTCAAAAGGTAAAAGTACCTATTTTGTAGTATGAACGCAGTGTAGACACCATAATAATATAACTCTGGCCCGGGCTGGTCTGTTTATATGTGCTTTTTCTGGCCCGCCTAGCCGGGATCCCGGGTGCCTCGAGGCGGGATCCCGCCTCGCCGGGCCAGCCCGCTTGCCATGTAAACGCACCACAGGTTTTGTGTGGATTTGTGTACAACCCCGAGATCCCGTTGCAGGCGGGCTGGCCCGCCTGTCGACCAGCCCGGGCTGGAGCTGCACATATAATCACCCCCTAAGAGCTCCCCTGCACAGGCCTACAGTCCATTCATCGGAACCTGGCCCGCTGGCTTTTGGAAAGTCGGATTTGGGCCGAATTGAGTGTAGTGATTTGCGATAAGCCTCCGGTTTTAACGATTTGTTTTACGGCGATTTTCCATGTGTTTTGAAATTAAATTATTCGCATTCTGTTATGCTATTAAATATGTTATTCCCGTAGCTATGCAGAAGACGTTACTTCAGTAACCATGGTAACGTCTGGCGCTAGCCAGGGTCCACACAGCTTTAATTCCCGTAGCTATGCAGAAGACGTTACTTCAGTAACGTCTGGCGCTAGCCAGGGTCCACACAGCTTTAATTTGGTGTTTGTTTGTTTGTTTGTTTGTTTGTTTGTTTGTTTGTGTCACGGCTGGAGCTATCCCGTATCTGTCCCGTATCTGTGACTACAAAGGCTCTACAGGATTGTACATAACAGCTGTCCACAATATTTGCGGGCTCCTGTATCTGTCCCGTACCGTACCAATATTCGTCGTATTATGTATACGACTCCCTGATGTAGAGGGAGATTTGGAAAGAAATAGGGAGACGAGGAGGAAATTAAATTAGAATAGACGCCGAATAGGTGATAGGATGCGTCAGCATAAACATACTTTGGAAGAGAGATCCCGTCGTCTCCAAAATAACCGTGAACGAGCGATTCAGCGCCGGTCACAGGAAACGTCGGAAGAGAGATCCCGTCCACTCCAGAACGCCCGTGATCGGCAGAGTCCGCCGGTCCCAGGCAACGTCAGGACCGACATCCCGTTGAGTCCAGAACGCCCGTGATCGGCAGAGTCTAAGCCGGTCCCAGGAAACGTCAGGATAGACATCCCGTCGAGTCCAGACCGCCCGTGATCGGCAGAGTCAGCGCCGGTCCCAGTAAACGTCAGGACAGACATCCCGTCGACGTGCCGAAAAACTAAATCTGCACCCTCTTTTGCCGTCGGACAGGATACGTATTATAGGAGACTGTAAAGTTATGTAATGTCCAAATTTCGACGTGAGCAGCAGGTCACTCGCGTTGATTTTTCGACGTGCGAGCCAAATAACGCGAGCTGAACTTTCGCGTCGCAGACATCCCGTCGACGCGCAGAAAAACTAAATTTGCAGCCTCTTTTGCCGTCGGACAGGATACGTATTTTAGGAGGCTGTAAAGTTATGTAATGTGCTCCACAGGCAACCAAGCATTCGGCGAAGTCATTGACTCAACAGGTCAATGTACATGTATTACTACAAAAAGGCCAGAAAATCCGATTACTGTATTAATATCAACTAATTTTCGCTGGCGATTTAATTTCGCTGATTTCGCCGCTTGGTACCAACCGGCCAAAGTAAATCGCAGGCCAAAGTTTGTCATAGGCAAATGATGCAAGATTGAGCAATGGATGCATGAGAGAGAAAAAATACCGATCGGTTTCAAATTTGACGTGAAATTGCGCGCCACGTCGGAAATAACGTGCATCTTAACCTCTCTAATAGAGAGGTTTCTATTTCTCATCGGCCAAAATTTCTTGATTTACAGTATAAGGAGATAAAAAGAAAAGAAGGAACAAACCAAAAGTAGATGATTATTAGAGAAATAACAATCCGCAATAAATTCTGCAAATACTTTTTCCTAACTCATAATATTGAAACCGATTGAAACGTTTTTGCAATACAGTGATGTGGCCAATCAACGGAAAAAGACATTTCCATCAGTTCTTATAACATGTACGATGAGCTAGGCAAAAAGGCATAAAAGCATAGCGTAGGGCCCTGAGCTTCCAAGCTCTCTCGTTTGGTGTTTGTTTGTTTGTTTGTTTGTGTCACGCCTGGCGCATCCCGTATCTGTCCCGTACTGTACCGTACCAGCAAAGACAGCTGGCCACAATATTATTTTTGTTTGTGTGTGCCATCGACATGCCTGGTGCTATCCCGTACCTGTCCCGTACCATCAAGAGTACGGTACCATCAAGAGAATGAGTATTATATGCGAAGTGTATCGGGGGAATGCATTCAGTGCATTAACATTTTGTGTAGATTTGTGTGCGAGGCCGAGATCCCACTAGCAGGCTGGCTGGGCCGCCTGTCGACCAGCCTGGGAATCGCATGTAGGCTGATAGCATAATAATTATCATTATAACGTACTTATATACAGTCATGTAGATGTATAGCAGGGAGTCATATTATGTAAACGAATCCCTCCTGTATGGGGAGATTTTCTGGAAAGAAATACGAAGTAGGGAGACGAGTAAATGCAATCAGAATGGATGTTAGTTGCCGTCAGTATACCGGTAATAATAATAAGAAGAAGAACGCCCGTGATCGGCAGAGTCAGCGCCGGTCCCAGGAAACGTCAGGACAGACATCCCGTCGACTCCAGAACGCCCGTGATCGGCAGAGTCAGCGCCGGTCCCATAGCTATGCAGAAGACGTTACTTCAGTATCTCATTGAAACGTTTTTGAAATACAATGATGTAGCTAATCAAAGGAAAAAGCATTTCCACCAGTTCTAACAACATGCACGCTGAGCTAGGCAACAAAGCATAGCGCAGGGCCCTGAGCTTCCAAGCTCTCTCGTTAATTTTGATATTGCTTTGCATAAATATGTAGCGTACGGTACTCGATTTAATAGTACCACGGGGATATCAGTTTAATCTACGTTAGGTGGGTACACTTTTGCTAGGGTACTCATGCATGCACGTGTCTTCCTTTACCGTACACCACTAGTGTACTTTGCCGGATATTTGTACTCCTTTTATTGCGCGTTGTAATTATTGCATGTTTGTACATACGCTAACTTTGGCGCACTACACATTCTGTATTTTCTCTTCTATAATGGCACAAGGATTCAGAGAATCCTTCAGTAGTCTAGACATTAGTCTTCACCATGCGGTTTGGCCTTTCGGTGTTCTTTTGCAATGAATAATAACAGTGTAGTCTGAGTAGTTTTCCTGTGGATTCCTGGTGGATTTTAGAATTGAGATGTGCTAGACCTATGGGATCAAAAACCCACTTTAAATCTCAAAAATCTGGGTTTTAGATCTGCTTCTCCATACATTTTGCCATGGTATACCTGTATTAATTTTGTAAAACCTGGCTGAATTTCTATTTCCCTGTTCTTGGACTTTTCTGGCCTCAAATGTGGCAAGGAGTAATTGCGCGGGTCACACAATGCAGAATGTGCTGTTGTTTCCACGATATCTACAACTATGTGAGAGAGACACCAAAAAGTTAGGGTGCCAGTTTCCAATGAATGGACTGTAGAGCCTCTGGGTAATCCTTGAAAGACAGCAAATACAAATACAAAAAACCAATCGGTGTCCATTGACTGTGGATTGGTTGTGTTCAATAATTCAATAGTTGACATCTACCGAAAGAAGTACAATCAACTTCGTTAATAACGACTGCGGATATAACGACAATTCGCGAATAACGACAACATTTTCATGCCCAGAGCAAAGTCCCATCCAACTGTGACACATATAATGAGACTTCGGGTATAACGACACTTCGCGAATAAGGACACTTTTCTGATGCCCCGCCGAGTGTCGTTATAAGCGAAGTTGACTGTACTGGTAGTTTCTACCGAAACCTATTGTGGGTCAAAAACAAACGCCCCTTTATAGGACTTGCATTGATGCACAACATCCATTCGCTGTAAAGTACAAAAATGATTGAAAATCCCCAGAAGTGACAAGGAACCATCTCAATTCCAAAAATGGACAATGCCAACGAAGTCAGACTAGTTGTACAGCAAGACCTCTCCTATCCGGTACTCTTTTACGTGGGTACCAGCTCGCCATACGGAAGAAAATAGCTCGTTACTGTTCGGTTATCCGGTTCCCTCGCCTATCCGGATATTTTTGTGGAAAGCAGATGTGTGCGGTTAGGCGAGGTCTGGCTGTATAGCAAAGCCATACACGATTGGGCCACAATCCCCTGCATGCAGTTCTATGGCGTACAACACAAATGCTCCCCTCCACCATGCCTGTGTGTGGAGCAGTCACTTGTGTTCTGTCTTTCACACAGATGCACGCAGCA